TCGAACTCACGACCTTGAGCTTGCCAGGCAGGCGCTGTGCTGCTGAGGTAAATCCCCAGTCCCCGAATTTCTGTAATTTAAATCTTTGTTTAAACATTTTATTTCCTGCAAAGAGTATAGGACATTGAAACTACTTAGTAATTATGTGACTATGAGATCTAGTAACTTCTTCCTGGGCCACTGTTGTCACCAGTACAATGGGGAGATACTTACCTTGTAGGGATATTGTCAATTTAAACTGAAATGCTGGGAGGGGGATTTAGGTCAGTGGCATAGTGCCTGCCTGGCAAGTGCAAGGTTGTGAGTTCAATTCCTGGTACTAGGAAAAAAAAATAGAAACTGGCCTCAGAGGAATGTATTTGTAGGGCTGGGGATATAGCTGAGTGGCACAGTTGCCTGCCTGGCAAGCGCAAGTTCCTCAGTTCAATTCCCAGTACCAAAAAAAACACCCCAAAACTGAAATGCTATGTATGTAAAGCTCATGCATGTATATCACCTGCTGATACTCTTGCCCTGTTGTGGTTTGGATGTTGTCCATCCCCCAAGGGTTCACGTGCAAGGTGTGGCTCCTGCTGTGGCAATGTTGAGAGCTGGTGGAACCTTAAAGATGTAGGTAGGATCTAGTACAAGGTGATTAGGTGCTGTCATTGGAGGACATTAGCTTAGTTTCCATGAGACTACAGTGAGGTCTTTCAGGAGTGGATTGTTCGGGGCTGGGGGTTTAGCTCAGCAGTTCAGGGCCTGCCTGGCAAGCGCGAGGTCGTCAGTTCGATTCCCGGTGCTGGAAACCACCCCCCACCCCACCCCCCAAAAAAGTGGATTGTTCTGAGGTAAGGCCACCCATGTGCTCAGTGTCTTCTGCATGTGACTGTTTCCCTTGCCGCTTGTCTGTGTGTTGTGATGTAACCAGGGAACCCTTACAAGAGGTGGGACAGACGGGGTTGCCCAATCTTGGACTTTTGGCTTCCAAAACTGTGAAGTAAATAAACCTCTTTCTATACGTATCCAACTTTTAGGTATTTTGAATAAAAGATGAATGAATACATCCCTGTCCTCCCATTTTGTTTTTCAACTGTCTTGAGAAAAATCTCTTAAGTACAATTAACATTTAGTCCTTTATTAAGGTGTTAAGACACCTGCTCCAGGGATTGAAAATGGAATTAATTTTCCTTTTCTTACCATTTACAAATGCTGTTAGAAATTTGTCCAAGACCTTAGAATGAGGAAAAGCTTTTTAAAATATGGGATTAAATAAGTTTGCTGTGCAGGGGATATAGCTTAGTGGCACAGCACCTCCTTGGAAAGCATGAGGTCATGAGTTCGATTCCTAGTACCAAAAAAAAAAAGTTTCCTTTAGGCAGCTTTCTGAGTAAATTTGGACTAGAAAATTAGAGTTGCTTTTGTAGTCGCACCTGGAACATAGTTGGCAGTAGCAAGAAAGTTTATGCAATCACATTCCTTATAGGACATCTCAGTAAGGTTTATTGTCTCCTAAAACCCTTGAGGAAGTCCCCCCTCCCTTTCAGTCAAGAAACTGTGGACTAGGAGAGAGTAAATGAGCATTAGACTGACCTTGCAGTAGGAGAATGATAAGAATGCTAACCCCAAGGCATATGGACTGGTTTTGGCTTTCCAGAAACTTCCTCACAGGTTATGACCCATGGGTTGTGTGCTTTAAATACATACGCACGCACACACGTACACACACTCTATAAGCCTAAACTACATCTAGCTATTTATTTATCTATTTATTTTTTTCCGGTACCAGTGATCAAACTCATGACCTTGCGCTTGGAGGGCAGGCGCTGTGCCGCTGAGCTAAATCCCCAGCCCCTATATCTAGCTATTTAAAAGACTTTAGGTTGGTAATGGAATGCAGACGTGATTTTCACTGGGCAAAATCAATTTTGGTGTTTTAATTTTATTCATCTAAAACTCTTCATTTCCATCTCTGTGTGTCTGTCTGTCAGTGTCTGTCTCTCTTTCTCTACTGGGAATTGAAACTAGGGCCATGTGCACACTACTCAAGTGCCTATCACCTAGCTACATCCTTAACCCATGCACTTTAAAAAAATTGTCTTTCATCTACTCTCTTCATAATAGCAAGAATCTTCTTAAAATTGTAAGCGGAGCTAGGCCTGGTGGTTCACACTTGTAATCACAGCTACTGGGGAGGCTGAGAGGAGGAGTGCAAGTTCAGGGGCATCCTGGGCAATAAAGTGAGGCCTTGTCTCAAAGAATGAGAAAGGGCTGGGAGTATAGCTCAGTGTTAAGGGTGTCTCTGGGTTTAATCCCCAGTACCCCACATGAACCCTAGTTGAAAGGGCATCACTTCTCTGCCTAAAGCCTTCACCTCCAGTGGTTTTATCATTGTATTTAGAATAACATTCAGACTTCCTTGTGTGACTTGGATTAAAGTGTATGCATGCTGTGTCTTTGCCATTCTCCTCACCTCCTCTGGCTTCCAGTTGGCTCTTCTCACCCCTTGCTCTTCAATTCTTTCAGCTTTCCTTATTACCATATATAAAGAGTAGACACTTTCAAAATTCCTTTTTTTTTTTTTTTTCATAATTTGGAGAAATTTGTCATTAGTTTTCTGCTTGTTTTTGTCTTCCTATACTCTTAGAATACAGTATGAGAGTAGACACCATGTTTTATGAGAGGCTATGAGAGTAGACACCATGTTTTATCCTTTTTGTCTAGCACATACCAGCACATGGTGTGTATTTAAGAATATTTATTGAGCCAGGCTTGGCGGCACACGCCTTTAATCCCAGCACTTGGGAGGCTGAGGCAGGAGGATTCTTGTGAGTTTGAGGTCAGCCTGGGCCACAAAATGAACTCAAGGCCAGCCTGAACTGCATAGCAAGACTTTATCTTAAAAAGATTAAAAAAAAAAAAAAATCATTGCCCAAATGATAGTTTGCTAATTTCTGCTCTATGGAAAAATGGAAACTTCATAAAGGAAAAAAAACATTTACTTGCTCATTTTGTAATCTGTAAGATGATAAAAGTCAACATAGGTAAGAAAGAAATGTTTTCTTTTTGCAGTTGAACTTTTAAAAATTTAACTTAACTGGCATCTCCTCTGGGAAGCTTTTCCCAGTTGGTCATAATGAGCCATGTGGTTGCCTCATTCATGACAATAGATTGCCTGCTTGATTTTTTGAGGGAGAATTTAGTTAGTCGTCATATCCATAGCGCTCACATTGGTGCCTGGCACATGGTAGTTGTGCTCAATAGTGTTCAGAGAGGAAGAAGTGTTAGAATTGGCATATATCTTGAGAAACTTAAGACTTTTACTCTAGTAGATTATGGAGCTCATTTGTCCCAAGACACACTTTGTTTTTTGGTTTTTAAGTTCACCAGATCATGACATTCATAAAATTAATTTTTAATCCGTTATGGGGAATTTCAAATGCATATAAAAACAAGGAGAATGCTATAATGACCCAGTGCCCAAGACCTATCACTCAGCTTTTAACAGTTGTCAACACATGGCCAGTCTTATTTAACTTTACTTTTCCCTTCCTCTTCTGTATTTTAAAACAAATCCCAGAGGCTGGGGATTTAGCTCAGCGGCACAGCGCCTGCCTGGCAAGTGTATGATCTTGAGTTCGATTCCCAGTACCAGAGAAAAACAAAAACAAATACAAAAAATAAATAAAAATAAAAATAAAAGAAATCCCAGACATCATACCATTTCATCTATAAATACTTTGGGAAGATAATAATTTAAAAACTAGTTACCTCTTGGAAAAACCTGATAAAATATTTTCATTTGTCTCTTTGAATCTAAGAGCTTGGTACCTGCTGGTGAATTTCCGTGTTAAGCCACCCCCAAGGCTTGACTCACTATTGAAAGCATATACTCCATTGTAATTGCTGAGATAGCAGCAGTTTGCTAGACTAGACCTTAGTGGTTAAAATATGTTTCTGTTGGGTGGAGAGATGGTATCAATAATAAAAACTCGTGTCAACTTTTTTCCTTTTGGAGAGGTGTACAGATCATTGATACTTTTTGACATTGTACCTTATAGACCTCTTAAGATTTATCCAGAAAATGACAATGAAGTATGTTTTATGGATTAATAAATTCCTGTAGTGCTTTGTGAGTACATTCCTGAGAGTCACAATTAGCGGTGGGGAGGTGGGGTGGGGGGTTGGGGGGGTGTGGTAGCAAGAATCAGAGAAGCCAGACGTTCAGCTAGAGACTTCTAAGCCTTGAGAGGCAGAGAGTTTAGAACTTGGGCCAGGAAAAAAGTTACATGGTATTGGTAGAGTTGTTTAGTCTTATTTTGGAAGTTCAACTTGTGACATATACTTGTGTAATTTTCTTTGCCTGTAAATGAAATTTCCTTTAGGGAGGGGAATAAAGTCACCATCTTTTTTCAGGAGATATCATTAAGGATTAAATATTACCTTGTAAATTGAGATCAATACTCAGTGAATGGTTGAACTAGACTTGTGCTTTCTTGTGATCCGAGTTTGTTTATTATTTCAGAAGAAATGAAAGAAAACAGAAGTAGACATAATCACCTTTAACTTTTATTTTAGAACAACCATATAGGAGAATGAGACCCTGCTTTTAAGGGGCCACAAATCCTAGCCCTGCTAGAACTACAGTATTGTTTTCTCCTTATCCTGAATTAGCACGAGTCTTCTGCATTTAAGATTGGTAGGTGATGGTAGATGTGGTGATCTCAAGTCTTGGTGACCCACTCTTTTATTCCCTCCTCTACACTCCCATAACTCTTAGTTAATTCCTCTGTTACAGCACTTAGCACACAATGCTTTCAATAGGGATTTTGTCATAATCATCTGTGTACCATTAGCATCTAGCACATGGTCACTTGGAAAATATTTGTTGACACATCATAATCCCTTTCCGATGCTGAGATGGTGTGATCTTGCTGTTCCTCTGGTGGCCTTGACCCTGAGTGCAGTAATAGTGATGGATGGTCCTTTTAGGTTCTTCTCTGTATTTTTCCTCTTCCTAGATGCGGTTTGTTCTCGGGCTCTGGATCGTTCTCTTCTTTGGTGTTCTTCCAGCAAGCAGAGGAGAGAAAAATCCGTGTTTAGAACAAGAGGAGTATATCAGACTGAAGCTGATCATTGCTAGGATCAGTGGAATCCTCTACTTGCTTTCTGGATGAATACAGTGTTGGTAACAGATATCACAAACTTGTTCTGTTTTGTTGCTTTTCCTCATTTACCTATGACTGTGAGGGGGAATGGATTTAAGTCTTGATCTTCAAGCTTCAAAAGGTATGATCAGTCATTCAGAATTAGGGGCTGGGGATTTAGCTCAGCGGCAAAAGCGCCTGCCTGGCAAGCGCAAGGTCGTGAGTTCAGTTCCCGGTACCGGAGAAAAAC